CTTAGGAGTACCCTAATTAAGTTAATAACAATGTACCTACCTATATAGTTTAAGTTTAAAAAATTTGGCTCTCAAAAGAAATTTCAATCATTGTACTGTTGATATTTGGCTCTGTTAACTAATGAGTTTGCTGACCACTGAGCTAGGGGAAGGGGGGGAAGGCAAACCACATTTAGTCGCAATCTTCACAGTTCAACCACAAGTACAGAAATGCAGATGATAGAAGTCAGACTCTCACCAATCTCAGCAACGAACCCATTGCTCATCCTCTGAGGGAGAGTAGTGGGCACCGAGTAGGGAAGGGCCCTAGAAGTGTTGTTCATCCAGAAGAGTTCAGGGAAAGTCTCTTCAAGGAAGCCTAAGGACAAAGAAATGGAGAGCCTCTAAAAAAGATAAAATTAGCTAACATCTAAAATACATTGAACACAATGCTTGCCATATGGCTGGGCTTAGTAACTTGCAGCTGCATTCTTGTGGACTTGTTATTTGTTGTAGAAAGATTATCAGGTATAAACATCAATCACACCTCTTTCTCTACAGATACCAATCAATTGAGAAATAGAAACAAAAATTGAAAGAAAGATAAAAATAGCTTTATTTTGCCTTGTCTAGGTGGCTCAACTGGGCATCTTCGCTCACACTGAAAGATTGTAGCTTTGATTCCCAGTCAGGACTCATACCTAGATTAGGAGTTCGATCCCCGGTGGGAGCAAGTACTTTCTATACCTATATCTATATCTTTTTCTTCCCTTCCTCTCTTTCTAAAAATCAATAAAAACATATCCTTGGGCCTGATTGCCCCTAACTGCTTGCCTGCCTGCCTGATTACCCCTCAATGCTCACCTGACTGCCTGATCACCCCTAACCCCTCTGCCTGCCTGCCTGATTGCTCCTAACCCCTCTGCCTACCTGCCTCAACATCCCTAACCACTCGTCTGCCTGCCTCATCACCCCTAGCCACTTGCCTGCCTGCCTGATCACCCCTAACCACTTGCCTGCCTGCCTGATCACCTCTAACCACTTGACTGCCTGCCTGATTGCCCCTAACCCCTCTGCCTGCCTACCTGCCTGATTGTCCCTAACCACTCACCTGCCTGTCTGATCACCCCTAACCACTCTGCATGCCTTCCTGATCACCCCTAACTGCTCGCCTGCCTGATCATCCCTAACTGCCTCTGCCTTGGACCCCACCACCATGGCTTCCTCCAGAAGGACATACGGAATGACATCTGGAAGGTTGTTTGGCTGTCCAGTCTAATTAGCATATTATGCTTTTATTATTATAGATCTTACTATTGTAGTTGTTGCTGTATAGCTGTGGACAAGCAGACCGAGATAGTTCTCTTTTCCAGATAAGAATGAGAATTCTGCTCTAAATTGCCACTTCTGCTCCACTCTGCAGCACCTCGAAGAGGTTCAGGTCCAGGGCTTATAGAATAATTTAGAAAAAGAGTGCTATAGGCATAGTTGCCACCCTTGGTTGTCCATTTCTCTTTTATAGAGCACCTATCAAAGCCCAAAATCACCTTGGGTCTGAAGAGCAATAAAAATGGCACCTGTGTGACCAATCTGACATGCTTCCTGGAACGGGGAGGAGAGGATGTGACTTACAGCTGGAAGACCCTGGGGAAGACCTCCAATGAGTCCCATAATGGTTCCGTCCTCCCCATAACCTGGACGCTGAGGGAAAAGGACATGACCTTCATCTGCATGGCCAGGAACCCCATTAGCAGCAACTCTTCAAACCCCATCTTTGCCCGGAAGCTCTGTGAAGGTGACTGTCTCTCCCATTTCTCTAGAATCCTATAGTCTCAGGAGCTATGCCTTCTTTAGCTCCTGGTCCCCATGGGAATGGGCCCTGTGTAAAAACTGGAGGCCCCTGGGAAGTCACCAGACTGGGAGAAAAGTAGCAGTTGCTCTAAAAGTTGGGTCATTTTCCATAGCTAACCCTGCTTCCTTCCCTGTGTCTCCACCCATTCTCTCTTTAAAGGTACTGCTGGTGACCTAGATTCCACCATGGGCCTGTGGATTTCCTTGCTGCTCATTGTCCTTATACTGGTGTTAATTATTTTGACTATGTGGAAACAAATAAGAAAAGGTAGAGCATGTACCATTTTTGTCTTTGCCCTCATTCATGCACTTTCTCCCTCATTAATTCAACAAACTGGTGGTAGGCCTAAGGATACAGAAATGAAGAGGCCCTAGTCTCTGCCTCAAGGAGAACATCATCAGCCTGCATCCCTTAGTTCTGGCTTCTCTCCTAAGGCCAAGGTCCTTCCAGTTCTCTCTCCAGTGCCTACCCCTTTCAGAGCCTGGGAAGTAATGAGGGTAACCAGAAAATCCTGGGATTTTCCTGGGGTTAGCACTTAAAGTCCCATTCCCTGGGGGAAAAAAACAACAACAAACCTTTAGTTACAGGGAAAGTAGTATAATTGGTCACTCTAAGTAGGTTGTCAGATGGGGTGGTGAGCCAATGGGGGTGGTGAGTAGAAGGAGGGGCCAGCTCTTCTCTTCCACCAACTTGGTTGTAGAGTCCACTGAAGAGAAGAGAATGGACACTCATCCGGAAATTCCTAACTGCTACCCCCCTTCTGGAGAGACCGCAGAGTATGATACAATCTCTAACCCAAATGTGAGTCCATTCCTATATTTTTGGGGGCCTTATCCTCCTCTCTGAGGCCCTTCTTGTTTTACTTGAGATTTTCCCATGGATTTGAACAACATGGGAGATGAGGATATACAATCCTTGAAACCCAATGCACCGTGTCTCCCCTGAGTCCTTGTGGATTCTTTCTTATGCAGAAGCTGGTGCCCTCTGGGCCACCTGGTTCTGATCCAACCAGTAATGCTCACACTGTGATCTATGGAATTACCCCTTCTCTCCACAGTTCACAACAGCTACTCAACAGGCCTGGTTCCTTTTGCATAGGACAACAGGTAGAGTAGTGTGGTTTTGACATGATGTTTGAGTTGTGATGCCACTGGACTGGACATAGAGATGCCTTTTTCTCAAGAAGCCATCAGAAAAGGACTCAGAAGGCCCATGGTGGCTCTGGGCCACACTCAAGGCTTCCTAAGTGTGGGTCACCAAACTCCAGTAAATGAACACAAGGTTAATCCAAAGGAAACTTGTTGAAAAGAAGAGTATAAATATAAAGTTTTTCAAAAGCTAAATAAACAGAGGCAATCTGGAGACGTGAACTAGAGAACTTCAAA